TTTACTCGGCCGACATAGCTCAGACGCAAGCATTCAACAAATCTAAGTTGTGTAAGCAAACTCTTGTCTCCTAAGTAACTTTAGCAACAAATTTCACTGGTACTTTTGCTAGAAAAACAAAGCAGCAAGCCAACCTCTTGTATATCAATTTCAAGTGCAAGATGAATGAGCGTCGGCCAAGTTTTTACCGTTAGATTTTTAGTTTAATCAGCGCGAAATCTTAAGTGCAGCTAAAAACGGAGAATAGCAAGACGGGGGTAAAAAAGACTGGCAAACTGATATGATAAACGAGCTTCGTCATCGCGCCTATGCGCTAAATTGTTTTTACATTGATCCACTGATACAATGAGGCTTCGGGCAAAATCTGATGGCCTTTGGTGCTGCTTTCACGATGGTGGTCTATTATTTTTCTTTTTGTCAATTTCAAGTTTCAGTTATATCGACGCCCCGATCGAACATTTTTTAAACTTTATCAAGTTTTCGTTTTAAATTGAACACGTAAAAAGTAATTCAAATAATGTTACCAGTTCCATCTCCTATTATTTTCGCAGGTCTTCACAATTCTTAATTAACAGGCTTTGTATCTGGACGTCAAAGGCATGAATATTAATGGATAGTTTTCAATACTACGACGTTGTAACGGGCTAAAACAGACGTCGAGCGCACGCGATGAAAAAAAGTTCAAAGAACCACAAAAAGAACGTCGACTTTTTTCTTATCCGTGCGCACGTCTAACGAGGAAGAGTTAGCCAAAGTTGCGATGCGATGACTCGATCTCCCTCGAGCCGTGAATCATTAACGAAGCGCTCGAGAAAGCGAGACGTGAAACTACTTTATATAGACGTTTGTATAGGGATGCTGTTACTGTTTGCTCGGCGAACTTGTCGATTTGATGTAGTTTGGAATTTGCTTGATTCGAAAAGAAAAATCGAAGTGCATAGCAACTCCGACGGAGAAATAAAACAGTCAAGTTGATTAATTTTGTTTTTACGCGTAGATAAATTAGAATTAAAATTCAAAGAATACCAGCAATGAGTCAGCCGAAGATGATTCCATAGCAGTTTTCTTTATTTTTTGCCATGACGTGGAATGAAATTTAATATAGAATTACGTGTATACGAGATGACTTTCACGCGTGTAATTCGGAAGTCATTTTACATGCCGCTCGTGCCTCACACTCACGCACACGTTTATAAAGTTGATATAAAATGTGCAGAAGCCTGTGGCCAGTCACGTTTCCTGCTACTTGCTACGTTAAATTTCGCTTTCATTGCGCACTGATATAATTAAAAACAAAAATGACCTCGCTTTCATTACAACAGCTGTTTTAGCAGAACGTTGACATATTTTGCCACCACGTATAATTACAGGACTTGCGTGTGAATATTTCTTTGTTGGCTAGGCGAATTTGAAATTAACTCATCGGTTGTTGAAATTTGCGGAATGAATGGGCCATTGTCGTACCTAATTGCTGACGATCTTCTTTAAAAATTGCTCGAGACGGTTCAGAAAAAAGAAATATGTAACCGCATTGTCTCGAAACATTCAGTTTATAACAATCTGATTTTATCAATCAACAGCAGGCTCGACGCGACAACTACTCGATTGGGACTAATTATGAAGCGGCAAGTCACTCAGAGTATTGCAAACACTGCTTCTCGACTAGTGGCACGACCACAATGCTAATGATGCTCCCGACGACCTATTCTCGAGGTTGTGTAATACAGCTATATGTGGGCGAAACCCCGTCGCTACTATGTGTATACGTGCCAGACACGATGGAGTCGTTGAAGTGAAACAGACGTAGTAATGTATGTACGTTCTGGCTGTTGAGTCTGTTTTACCATGGATTCGTGATGTTTCAGTGTTACAGGAAAGAAACCAATAAATTTTAGTTTTCCAATCGAATTCTCATTGTTTATTCCTAATGCGAATTTAGTCATGGATTCGGAAATGTTCTAGTTAATTTATTTTTAATTCAAACAACAAAAAATTGTTATTGTAGAATATTTTTGCAATTTTCTTCATTTTCTCTTAATTAGAAAATGAGCTGCTATGATATACTGACGCATTAATAATGTATTAAATGGCACTCAAATCTTTTGATTAAGTAGATATTAACGTGACATCGATACTGTAACGCTAGCAATTAATCAATGTTAGCAATGTAAAAATTATCTACTTTTCAAATCATACATATTTTCCTATTGCATCGTTCGATCATAATAGGTAACTTTTACACGTGTACCCAAATTAGAATCGAATATTGATAATAAAGTTAAATATCATATAATTTTGATTTTACGAGTACTTTTATCTTTTTAGAAGTTGGAGCTATGAATCAAATGAGAAAATAACTAGAAGATAAAGAACTTTTCTTTCATTATGCTCACGAACGGGAATGTGAAAATAATCAAGTCATCACATCGTTGAAAAAAATCCTCAGTCTGTTAATTAAACAATCAGCCAAGTTCAGGCGCAAACATAATCTTGATAAAGTAGCGTTGAAGCGTCTGACGAAAAAGCCTGCAAGAGAAGTGTAAGTGCAAGAGAGTTGCTTGTCCGGCGAAAGAACGCGTGATTCCGTTGAGCACCTCGCAAAAGCGAGAAAGAGAGAGGAAGATAAGAATCTTCGCTTATTGTCCTCTGGTGTACTGTCGCCGCCGCCGCCGCCGCCGCCGGCAGCGTAATACTTTTCCGGCTATTCTTCTTTCTCTCTCGAGGCTGCAGTTCAGTGCCTCCGTGTTTATACATACGCAGATTTCTCCTGCGGTGTGTGGTAATATAGATAATTGACCGGGCAGCCTTGAGCTGTACATGAGCTTCGCCTATATACTTTGAAGGAGAGCGCGTGATCTACGTTTGGCTTGCTCTAGATTGAGTTTTGATTGTAAACTGGGGGATTTGATATTTCAAGCGTCATTTTTCGATATTGCGCGTGTAATTTGATTTCAAACGAAATTTAGATTGTGAAAGCTGTTCGAATTGAAAGGCGCGAAAAAAAGAAAAGCATTATTTTACTTGGCAAGCTCTCGCAAACAAGCAAATACATCACGATGCGTTTTCAAAGATGTTCAATAATTCTCTTTCGCAACGGGTGATAGGATTTTTCTATTTGTTGAATATGCAAATTCAGTGAATGGATTTTTCAGTTGAAACTGACCAAACGATATGGTATCCAATGATGCCTAGAAGACACACGAACGCTAAAGACGAAACCTATTGTAGCGTTCACTGCGGTCATAACAAGCGCGACGGTATGTTTTACGAAAGAGAACAGCGAGACGCAGTATGATAACCGTTCCACATTCTGAAGCCGCTAACGACTTGTCTCCTTGTGTCGTTTTCTTCTTCGTATCGTCCTTGTCATTGTGCACGACTTAATGCGTTTCAAACGAGCTCCCGAACAGCACAACGGAAAGGGAAGACGCGGGCGTGAAGGCCTATGAGCTAATCGTGCAATCTCTTGGCGTTTCCAACTTGAAGTTGTGCAGTTCGACAATGGGCGGCGGATTCATCGCCGCGGCGAACCATGCCAACCGATATGCCATGCAAAACACCGCTGTAGAAAAACAAGTGGCAGGGGACGGCGCGCGTTGTTGGAGCAATCCCCGCACGCGGAAAAGCCAATTTGCCGCGCTAAAGAGAGAAAAAGGGAGAAGGCGCCCGTTAATTGGAGCTTCGCGCGCTCGCGGAAAATTAGGGGATTTCGAAAGCGAGAGCGCGCGTCTTTTGTCCTACACGGTGTGGGAAGAGTGGTCTGGCCGCGCCAATGTCCGCGCGTTTTTAACTGCTAATTTGGAGAAAGTCGGCAAAAGCCAATTATAAAAGGCCGAGGCGTGGAAAATCCGCACGTGTACATATACGTAAGGAGGATAATCGAATTGCCGTGTGGCCGCGTAAGGACTTTAACGAGTGCACCTTTCGATGTCTCTGTATAGGTGAAAGTTTTCGTTTATTGCATTTTGCGGTCTAACGATTTCATATCGACATTTCAATTTTCGAGCTCATTCGCGATTTCGAATTCGTTACAATGCTATCATTCCAAACTAAATCCTCTGTATGAAATACCATGGAAAAGATTGGCAATGCGAGGATTTCGTTTGAAAGTGAAAGGCCAGGAAGATGTTTACCCGAAAAAACGAGCCCAACGCGGGAAAAGACTATCGTAACGAGTTATGCAGCCAGTTGGAACGTCGCCGAAGATTGCACATGCATTTTGTATACGGCATTTACAATGATTATCCTGCGCATGTGTACATATATAATAGTAGCTTTCCAGTTGTCGATTTGATACGCCAGTAAAAAATTGTCATGACTGCGAATGCTTGGCAATCATTATATCGAATCAGGTGTACTTTCGTTTAATTAGCTTTTCTAAACGAAGCGCGCGCGCATTGAGAACGTCAATATATATATAAAATATATATAATTCAACGTCCGACAATATGTATATATAACAGTGTTCTCATCAAGCACCGCGCGAATCTTATAACAATATGATGTTTCCGTATATGCAGAAATTGTCGGGCAGCCTCTTAGATCGCGAGCCGGTTGACGATGTATCTACTAATTCACTGTAAATGTACCGCAAGAGAGCTTATAACGTCAGAGGTTCATGAAAAATCAACTTTGTAAATTTTCTCTCCCTGGAAGAATTATAAATCACGGCTTGAATCACATGACGACAGAGTATTTACCGGAGATAATTTGATTTCGTTGGCGAAACTCGTACGACGCTCTTCTCCTTTCTTTTTCGTTATTATCCACTTTTATGAGATTTTTCTCTTGTTCTCTTGAACTCTTGTTGGATGTAATAGTTTTCTCTGCCATGCATTTACGTCTGTCTTTATTTTTTGTTGGTCTGCCATGCTATTGTTCGCGATTGTTACAGTTTTTCTTTTTGCCAACACGTTTGATAACTTACCATTTCTCATTTCCGATTTCCCGAGAACACAATGCGTTTGAGAGAATGATTTACGTTCAGAGGGGATTAACTTAGAATAATTTGGTAAATGAGATGTCTCTTCCTTTATTTACAAATTGATATTTCGTATGAATGCAAGAGGTTTTGATCCCGTAAAAGCAAAAATACTAAAATTGTCTGATCGAAAGTCTTAATAAAGTATGAAATACCTTTTTCACGCCTGTAACAATGCGAAAAATCGAAAATGAAACAATCAAAAGTAGACATTCCGAAAGTCAAATGATGAAAATGCAACGACAGAACCTATAGCATATACATGCACAGCACGCAAAGCATAATAGTAATAATAACGTTGAAACTGAAAATTGTCGAGAGACCATTGTAAGTAATCTGACTCTCAATTGTGCACGCTCAATTTCTCTTAATATCCACGTTTTCCGCTGCAAAGAAAAGTAATAATAATAAAGTACTTGCTGGCTTTTGCACAATGGGTGTATATAATGCTAAGATATCGCTTGTGCGCAGGCTATTGAAATGGACGTTTTTGATCGATCGTAATTGTATTCCAAGCATATAGCGTGAGCGTGAAAAAATAAAGTATATTGTTAAATTTTTCTGAATCACAGCTTTGGTTATTGCTAAATATTTACGTAGCTCTTTCAATTCACCCAAAAATTATGAAAAAAATAATTTGAAGATTAAAAACACGTATTTTTTTAGCAATATCCACTATAAACTTCAATATAAGTTAAATAAATAATAAATTAAAAATGGAAGAATTTATAGCTAAATTTCGAACCGCTCAAATTGCAAATTCAAAAAGGATAGTTATTCGAATATAGTAGCTGTAAGAATCCCTCGAGTAATTTAGTCGTTGTGAAGAGAGCCAAGTTCTCGTTTCAAAGGTTCGCTTCTGACGCTGAAAACTCTCTAGGGGATTTGAAACCATCTTCTACGAGTTCCTTCACTAATAATGTATCCAAAAGCGGACTTATTTGAGGAAGACTCGACGCGAGAGGAGTCATCACGTACAAAAAAGAAATTTAATTTAGTTGAAATCAAATGCTTTCTCTATAAGTAAGAAATTTTATCATGTAATAGAACTTTTTATATCAGTCGCTAGTATCGTCAAATAAATTTAATTTTTAATTTATAAAAGTTTATTCGAACAGTGACTCGCATTTTTCGGCCAACTCGATGACTGCCTCTTCAATACTCTTTTTGTAAAAATTATTAACTTTCATGTGGGCTAACGTCGTTGTAATTCGATCTACAAATAGGAAGTGATTATAAGAATCGGAATCTTTGGTACAGTCAGCAGCTACTTTGGCATCTAGCATAGAAATTGGAAAATACTGAACGGCTGTAACAAGACCAAGTAATCTCATATCATCCATCGCTATTAAAATTTCTTCCAATGTCGGTATTCCGACACTTTTTGTCGAATCATTTCTTTCAATAGTCTCTTTCAATATGGAATAGTAAAGTTTTAACAAATCTTTCTCGTGTTTTTCACGATAAGTTCTTGTAGCTTTCAGATGTAAAAATTGCAAAATATCCATTACGAGTGGGCCATATCTAACGATTTGAAAATCTACGAGGATGCATTTGTACAAAGGCGAATTATCGGCAAACATGATGTTATTGGACCATGGATCGCCATGGCAAACGACGTTCCGATGAGTTTTTGATGGACCAAGTATTTTATAAACTTGGTCATAAGCCTTTCGTATGTTATTTGGATTGTAACCCAAATGTTTTGCCAGTAAACATGCTAGATCTTCTCCACACTTGATCCATCGAACGATTTTTGATGTTTGTACGAATACTTTCTCGTCAAAATATCCTGGGTATTGCTCGTTCAATGTAGTTTGTTTCTGAAAAAATTATTTGATCATCAAAGAATTGCAACATTGTATTTTTATAAAATCTAATTGAATTTTATAAAAGATACCTTGATGATACATTATAAATTAGTTATAAATGACACATGGGTATTTGAAAGAATATTACCTTTGAATTACGATTTATATAATGTTCAGCCAAAATAGAACAACTGTGAAATCGAGCGAAACAAGCAAGTACAGATTTTATTGCCAATGTGTCATCGAATGTCTTGCTTAGTACATTGTATCCTTGATACCTTAAATCTTCTAGTATCATTGAGTCGTCTTTTGCCAAGTAACACGTTGCGTGCCATTTTTCGCTTTCACAATATCTCTCTAGCAGAGGAACAATTGCATTGAAGAAATTCGATTCTTTGATAAAAATACCTTCGCTACTTAGAAAATCAGCTTGTTCCTTGCAATCGTATGGCATTGATTTCACAAAGAAACTTACCGTTTCTGGATTCGATGCATCTGATCTCTGAAACCAGAATGCGTGAGTATAAAAAGGTACAACAGAAAAATATTTTATATATACCTGTAATGTTACTTTCAAATTTCTATGAGACCCTAAAAATCCTAATGATCCTTCCGAATAATTACCAATATCATACTTCAATACTTGAACTGTTTTGTTATTCGTATATTTTTGTGCCACAAGATTGACATCCTCGTCGGTAACTGTATTCTTAATCGCATCGGCGATATGTTGTTTCTCCAGACTCTCGACTGACATATTTGCAAAGTGGAAATGCAAGACTCTTTGAACACATCTTATATACTTCTAGATTGACATTGCGTGACTAGACAAATTTATAGTAGAGTCTTCAATCGAGATTAACTACTGTCTACTTCTAAATTACTACTCGTTAGATTAGATTATACATTTTCCTTGTTTACACTCTATTATTTTGAACTTGACATGGAGTTTGCATTGCATAACGATCTTGGCGATATACAGGACAGGTCACTTTACCAGTCTATATTGTAGTCCGATAAAACGCCACTTTATATTGTCGAGGTACGAATAGACGTTGAGAACTATTATTATCATACTTTTCTATTATTTTAGATAAATTATCTTATTGAATGTTCATGGCAATCAAGAAGATAAATGTTAAAGAAAAGGTTCAGTAATGGAATAAAGAATTGCCTCTTGTACATGACAAACTATACTTAAATATATAGGCTAAATTCACTGTGCACATAATCATTCTTCACTTTCACACTTTATGCTTGCATTTTAGTTGTATTACCATTCAACAGCTTATATATACCCGTTATAACAATATCTCACTCTCACTTTTCTTTCATCCTAAGAACAATTTCTCCGCTCTTCCTCTCTCTCTCGCCGCAGCAGCTCATCGTTCATTCCCACAACGTACGCCCTCAATTTTTCTCGTTTGCGCAGCTTAAATGCTTCGTCAACCTGAAGCTTCCTTATGATATCCCTGCTGCTGTAAGAAAGAAAAAAGAACTGAAGGCGAATTCGACCTCGTTTAAAACTTCCATGGGAAAGTCCGTGTGTACTTCGTAAAAGACTTTACGACTAATAAAGACGAAACGATTATATGCGTTTGCCAGTCGACAACGAGAACAAACAAAATTAAACTTCTTCGCGGTTAATCACGTATCGCATGCGCATATATGCATTCAAAACATTATTTTCAATTGACCTTATTCACCTTATTTTGCTTTCTTTCGGTGCGTTTGAAGAAGGCCACAGAGTTTTTGAATTACCACTGGACGCCATTTTTATTATTAGCCACTAACAACTTGTTGCACCCGACGAATTGGATATTCGAAAAATAGTGTACGTGTCGTAACTTTTGTCTGGAGAATAAGGATATTGTCTATGATCGATATGACAATTGATCCAGATCATTTTCGATCTTATAGAGCATATTGATGTAAAATTCAGTTGAAGTGCAGTAATCATCAGTAAAAAAAGTCTTACGTAATTTACATTAAAAATCAGTTAAAAGAGAAAATTTCAAATAATTAATTGATTAGTATTAATTAGCAATCAATTTAAACTAGACCTTACAAAGGTAATTATAGTAGTCGGATTTAGGATTTAGCTATTATTTGTACTATATTTTGTATTTTGGTGGTAAATTGCAAAGATACCCAGAGTTATAGAAAAATAATAATATAGACTTTTATTATGTAATTATCAGTTATAGTAGAAATAAATTAAGTTGATCCACGTGTGCATTACTTTTATTTGGTTCTATCGCCGCTGAACTGCTGTCCTTTTTTTTGTCAACGCCTCGTTAACGAGAAAGCGCTCACAAAACGCCATACTCATGCGTTATCCCAAGAGACAGTGGAAAATAAAACTGCGGCAAGAAGAGTGAATACTCATCCTCAATTACAATTAAAACGGAACCAATAAAATCGGCGTATATCGCTAGTCGGGAACCACCCCTAATGACAGGCCGATTAAATATAAGACGATCTCGCGCGCGAGAGTACGACAAAAAAATAAACAACAATCTCGTCGTTGGACTATGCACATTAATAGGGAATTACTGTCATACTATGTTGAAAATCAGACGCATAATAGACGGTAATAAGTGGTAGCATCTCTGTGGGAAATGTGCGCATGATGCTATAGTTTCCAGTGTCTTTGGCGCAGAATTGCATTATGCTTGGCAATCGGAATAACTTATGAAAATTTCATGTACACGCCACGTAATGGTATATAATTGTCTTATTAGCTATTCATGAGATATATATGCTGGAGGAAACTTTTTTACGCTGGAAATGCAGATTTAATTAGCAGTGTTTCAACTGAGCTTTTTCTTTTTCTGTGTGTGGAAAAAACTATCTCGCAACTGAAAAGTTATTTGCAATAATGCTCGTTTGTAATTATGGCTTCTGGCATGATAACTGGTTACCTGACGAAATTACAGCTTCCTTGGGATTTCCAACTACACGTGTGATGTAGTTTTTCGAACACATTTGAAAGTCACGGTCTCTGAAAACAAGGCATCAATTCGTTCAAGTAATTACGTTTGTTACATAAGTGAAATCTGACTAAGGAACGGCGTACTCGCAGCTATTGAGCCCATCTAGTTGATTGACCGGACTAATGCGATGATACTAATGGTCTCAAGGTAAAAATTACCGCGGAAAAATCGAGACAAAAAGGACGGTCGTTTCGCGACGAGGAATTTGCGTGGCGCGCGGCTAATAATCGCGCGGCGTGCGTAATTCAGCGGCGGCAGTGACGAGGAGTAGCGAGCTCGTAAATACCGTTAATCGGCTGCAAAAGAGCGAGCGAACCCGAGTCCAGTGGCACCTTTTACTCTTTACGATGACGATGCATCGAAAGTCACCCGAGTGCATTTGCCTCGCTGCCATTTGCGTTACGTGCCAGCGATATTAAATGGCGTTTGGCAAGAGCGGCTCCTCATTTGTAAAGTGGAAGTTCATCGGAAAAGCAATAATTGTTCGGTAAAACATTCTCCAGTGCATGGATTTCAGTAATTAAAGTTCCAATACGTGATGTAGCTGATAACGCTCGATATAAATTATAAACCGCCCTCGGGCGTGTTTCGTAGCGAAACTTTCGCTCTGAAATTCTAATTAATGGCTCAACAAGATCAACGGATTTTTCCTTGGAATCGATTAATGTAGTTTTTGACGTGCAGTGATTTCGATGTGAAAAGAAACGAGGAAAAATTTCCTTCCGCTAGCAGCTATAAATAATGCATAAAGGTGTCGGATGTGAGACACACATGTGCGAGCTTTTATACCGGATTGTTCCCGTTTCCTCGAAAATTTTCAAAACTGCTAACCTATGAATAATTCACCAGTGATTTCAATTCCCTTTTTCATCAATCAGCCGCTTCTCATCATCGCCTCTCTTTTAATTTTCTCCCAACGGAAGGCACGCGATAGTGAATAGCAAAAATTCTAATAGGCAACTGTTTCATCCTAATTATCTTTCAAACGTACGTATTCTTTCGAATTTTTTTTGGACGCGAGGGCCAAACAAAAGACGTAAAATCGAACGAATATCTTCGTGGGGCTTTTATTCATGAAGCTTACTCGGCAAGCAGGAAAGAGAGAAAGAGAGAGAGAGAGAGAGAGAGAGAGAGAGAGAGAGAGAGAGAGAGAGAGAGAGAGAGAGAGAGAGAGAGAGAGATGAATTATCCATCTTTTTTGCACGTAGCAATAAATCATTCCTTTTTTGGATCACGTCGGCGAAAAATTTCACTCTCTCGAATTCATTCTCGTTGTCAATTTACACGATCACCTTATTTATTGCTTGACGAAGAGTTTGTACATATGATGAATTACGCACTTTGACTGAGAGCCACACGACAACGGTTATCGTTGGTGGAAAAAGTCGACTGAATGCCAATAAGTACATTTGTCGCGCGCGTGTGTGGCGTGTATTGATTTTGCGTATCTATAAGGTTATTTAGTAGTGTATTACTGATAGATCTGACTTGCAAATATCCTTAGTTTTACATGTACCACTAGTAATTGCCTCTCCTATTCTCGAATATTTTACGAACACTAAAGGTTCATCTATTTGTTAAACTTGCACTATTAGAATTATTTTTTGAAGAATATTCATGAATATATGGATTACTTTAATAATTTCAAAATTCTAGTAGAAATTCGACATGATTATTTTAATGTATTTAAACGTAATTAGCCGGCTCAATACAATAAAAATCTCTATAGAAATTTTAACGTACTGCTACTGGCTCATAAAGTTGTAAAATTTAATCTCCAAAATATTACTTTTTAGAGCATGTGGATGACTTTTAACTTACAGTATTCCACTGAAAACGATACCTTCAGAGTTATAAGATTGGTTAAAAAATACGTCTGAATCCTTTATTGCATGAGACTTTTCAATTAAGGATCGGTATAAGAAGTGAAAAGAAAGAAATCCGAAAAACTTTTAAAAGTATTGGTACGTAGAAATCCAGTGATAAATACGTGAAGACCACAGAAGAGAAGACCACTGTATGAAATAAATATTTTATTTTCAAATTACCATCGTCCAATTGAAATAAAAAGTCGTCCAAAGAGGTCAGTAACCTCTACTGTTTCTCAATGTTAACATCTGTATGTCAACGCAGCGATGCGCGCCAATCTCATTGCACAACCGTTGCGCGCGGAGGGAAGATGCAGATTTTCCAAGATGCTTATCTGCCGGCCGATGTGACGAGAATGGACGTGTAATTGATTGCGCTGCTTGCTATGCCTTTTTAATTCCGTCGAGTGTAGTACATACACAGCAGAGAGCGACGACAACGAGATTTCATTGATGTATATCAATCCGGAAGCATTGCACGCTTTATTTGCATAATGCACTTACTGCTACTGTCCAAAAGAGTTATACAGTTTGATGCTTTTGCGAATTGAAAAGAAAAGCCAAGACGACACTCCCGCAAGAAATCAATTCTTTTGATTTTTTTTTTGCCGTACAAAAAAAGATTCGCATATACTCCTTCCTCTTTTGCCGCGGTGATGTTAAAACGCCCGTCGTAAATCTACTGGCTTTAACGATTCGAAGCCGTTAAAGGATATAACCTGCAAGCCGCTGGTGCGGGAGCGAGAAAAGAGCCGCGATAAATTTCTTCTGTTTTTTTGCCTTTTTTTTTATTTTTTGATTCGTTGACTCTCGTCGTGCAAACGACACATATATGCCACAAATCAAATCAATTAGATGCACGCTCGAGATAAAAGGCGCATTCAATCCGGTCGAAATCGATCCATCA